TTTAGGTAAAATAGTAACACTATTACCCATCTAGTCAGAGTAAATACATATTTTTCTTTTTTTAAAAACAAAACTTAGGTATAATTTACATATAATAAACAGACCTTAAATGTTCAGTCTGATTAATTTTGACACTTGTGTATACTGTATAACCACTATCCCAAATAATATACCTGGAATGAACATTTCTATTACTCCCAAGTTCCCTCATGTCCCTTTATATATAGTCAATTCCAAACCCTCATCCTGAGGTAGCTACTTTCCGATTTATAACACCACAAACTAGTTGCCTGTTCCCGAGCTTCATATATGTGGAACTATACAATATGCACTCTTTTCTGACTAGGATTTTTTTGTTCAGCATGTTTATGAGATACATATATGTTGTTGCATATATCAATATACTTAACCCTTGAACAACACAGGTTTGAACTGCACTTCCATGTGGATTTCTTTCAACCAAACGCAGAGAGAGGAATGTGAAATTCATGTATACAGAAGGCTGACTTTTCGCATATGCAGGTTCCTATATGAGAGAGCTGGCTATGGGACTTGAATATGCATGGATTTGGGTATATGCAAGTGGTCCTGGAACCAATTTCCCCAGGGACACCTCTAGTTCATTCCTTTATAGCTGAGTAGTATTCCTTTATTTGAATGTACCACAATTTGTTTATCTGGTCTCTTATTGACGGAGATTTGGGGTATCATGAATGAGGCTGCTGTGAACGTTCTGTTTTGATGTTGTTTGTTGTTGCTTTTGGATATGTATTTTTGTTTCCCTCTTGGCCTAAGAGGGAAATAATTTCTAAGTGTTTATCCAGGATAAACACTTAGAAATTCAACTGCTATATTATAGGATAGATATATGTTTAACTTCACAAGAAATTACCAAAGTATTTTACAAAGTATACCTTTTTCTACTCACATCAGGAATATATGAGGGTTCTAAATGCTCCACATCCTTGCCGACATTTTGCTACTGTCAATTTTTAATTTTTTTTAATCCATTACAGTTGGTGTGAAATGTTATCTCATTGTGGTTTAATTTGCATTTTCCTGATGACTAATGTTAAACATCTTTTCATAGCATATTGATGATTTTTATATCTTCTTTCATGAAGTTCAAGTATTTTGCCTATGTTGTATTTTTCCTGACATATACAAATTCTTTACATATTTGGGATATATGTATTAAAAATATTACTCCCAAGTATGTGACCTGCCTGTTCTTTTTCTTAATGGCATATTTTGATGAACAAAAAAACCCCTTAATTTTAAGTTCAATTTATCTATCTTTACTAGTGCTTTTTGTTTTCTGTATAAGAAATCTTTGCCTACCCTTTGTCTTTATGGTGGGGGGTTCCCAAGACTACCAATTCAGTTTGATGATTTACTAGAAGAAGCTGTTACACTAACTCCAGATTGAGGCCAAGAAAGGAAAAAGGTTGGAGTCAAAGAGAAGCAAGTTTGGTATTTATTGTGGGAAATACTGTGGGAATAAAAGGCATGTGAGTGTGGAGGTAGAATCCACAGTTCTGTTTGGAAAATACTAAATTTAAGATGCATATGGGACACCCAAGAGGAAATATTTAGTAAGTAGCAAGGGATGGGTAAAACTGAAGGCACAAATTAAGGACCCTTCAGCCACAGATGATGGTCTGTACGGCCATGAACTGAGTTGAAATCCTCAAATGAATGAGTATAGAGAAGAAAAGAAGCATGGATTTGGGCTGTTCCAATATTTGGAGGAAGAAGAGAAGGATTCAGCAGAACATGGCAAGAGATGGAATGGCCACTGAGATAGGCTCTTATGTTTCTCATTGAACTGCCTAAGCTCTTCATAGATTAAAGACATTATACTTTGTCAGTTACATTCACTACAAATATTTTCCTAATTTTTGATTTGTCTTTTGATTCAGTTTATTTCTGACATATTTACTTTAAAATATGTGTTGTATAGTAAAATCCATTAGTTGTTCTTTTGTGATTTTCTCTGTTACTTTTAAGGTTAAAGAGTCTTCACACAATTATTTGTTAATTAAAAATTTAATAATAAGATTTAAAAGTCTTCAAGTGACTACTGGTCAGATAAGCACTTGCATTTTTATTTTTATGTTTGCTTGTTTCAGTGTGTGATATTGTGCTGGCCTAGAGCCAGAACCGGAGCAAAACTATTTTATAAAATGCAAAACTGTTTTTTAAATAAGTTGAAATGGCTGCCCCATTCTCCTCACAATAACTACTGTCCTTGGCCTCTGTAAATAGAACTGCTAGTTTGTTCTGCAAAACTATGTAAAGCTACTTACCTTTTCTTATCAGTAACTGCTAAAATCTGTGACTTCTATCACCACCCAGACGATGTGTAAACAAATGTATATCTTGACTTCTGTAAACCACTGAGGTAACAAACAGAATGACAAAAGTCCCCTGGCCCTTGGAATGTCCGGAGACCCCCGCCCTTGTCTCCACCCAGGAGGTGAATCACAGAATCCCCTAGCCCTTGGAATGTCCGAAACCTTTTCATCCCCATCCCCGCCCCTCACCCCCACTCCCAAGGTGGTTTTTCGGGTATAAAAAATCATAGCACCCTCCTTTTGGCGCCACAGGTTGGAGAGATGTGAGTCCTCTGTGGTCGCCGGCATAATAAATGACCCTGCAATCTGGCATACTTTTGTCTTGGTGATAACTTTCTACACTCCAGTCAAATACAACAAGTGCACTTTGGAATTTATTTTTGTGTGTCGTTGACAACTTTTAAATATTTGCCAATTTTCCCAGCACCATCTATTAACTATCTCCTTGCTCACTGAGTTGTAACATCTTCTGCCTCACATATTACATTTTATTTAGTTCAGCTTCAATTTTAAGCTTTGTGATTGCAAAAGGATGATGAAAAGTCTTCCTTCCAATTATCAAGAGATACTTTGCACAAGAATCTTAATGCGTTTAAAAGGAAATACGTAAAACAAAACCAACATTTTACAGAAGAAAAATGTAGGGAGACAAGGCTAAAGAGAAGAAAGTCACGAAGGAGAGAAAAGAATGGGTGCAATACATTTCCTGTGGCGGAGAAAAAGGTGTTGAAACTATTTCAAAAAATTCATATAACAAATATGTGTTGAGTGCCTTCCCTATACCAGACATTGTCCTAGGTGCCATGAAGTGGTGAATAAGACAAAATGCTTGCCCTCAGGGGCTTAGATTTGAGTGGAGAAGTGGGGAGACAGGTTATAAATACACAAATGAATTACATAACTTCAGCTCATGATGATGAGATAGAGTGAATAGGGGAGGTGAAGACAGGCAGGAGGTTAAGAGTGGCCTCTCTGAGATGGCATTTAGGCTGAGCTTTAAATCATGAAGAGGATGATTTAAATCAGGAAGATGAGGGTGGGAGAAGTGCTTTAGCAGGAAAGAGGAGCAAAGGCCCTAAGCAAGAGCAAGAAACAGAGAAGGCTGATGTGGCTGTCGCATGAGAGTGAAGAGAAGAGAGTAGAAGGAAATAAGGTCAAAGAGATAGGAAAGGGCTTCAGGAAGAAGACTGGATTGCCAGTGGCAATAGGAAGCCTTTGGAGGTGTTTATGTGGAGGGATGCTACAATTGTTATAAACTGAGATTTACTTGACTGTTGCGTAAAAATTAATCTTGTGGATGTTGGGAGGGAGGGGAAGACAAAGAATTCCAGCTGGAAAGGTCTTGTATAAAGAAGGAAACAAATATACCTTGTTCTTTTAAACATAACAAAACTAAATATTTGACATAATGAGAAAAAATGACTAGAGTGTAAGATTACTGAAGGCAGGGGTTTTGGTCTGGGTTGTTTACTGGGCATTTCCTGTGTTTAAAATAATCAATCTGGCAGTCAATAAAAATGTGTTGAATGATCATGTGACTATAGGGAAGAGATTTTTATTTGTGTAACAAGACTCAGATAAAATGAACAAACAGAAAAGAGCTTCAGACAAGTCTCATGGGCTACAGAACTGGTCTCATAATTGTAGGGTACATCAATGTATGTGGCAAACAGATTTCAATCAGAGTTGGGTAACTTTATAACAACATTACACTAAGACAAGGTTCAAATTTCAAGTTTAAATTTAGCCATTTTGTTGTAAACTTCTTCTCATCCCTTAGACTATGAGTTCCTATGCAGCAGGATTTATAACTTATTTTTAACTCTCCAGTAACAGCAGAACACATTGTGTATATGTATTCCATAAATGTATATTTAGGCTGTTGGAATTCTACTGAAGAAAAGCTAACGCATAGGCAAAATGCTTGAGGAAGAAAATTCGGACAACTTGGCAGCATTTATCATTACTAACATTTTAGTCTTCCAGAGTAAACTTTGAAATTACATTCTAATTTGAAATGATTCTGGTATGACAAGTTAACTCTTGAGACATCTCAATATGGTATTATAAAAGAACAAAACTGTTCATCAACCCTTTATGCCAATGTTAATTTCTTTAAAAAGTAGGATTTTAATGTTTTTTATTCCTACAGTGACCCTTAAAATTTCTATGTACGCAATCACAAATGTACACACAAGATGCATTTATAAGCTTATTGTGTAGTTCTAAAGACAGCTGGGAAACACATTTTTAATTTTGTTACTGAAATAATTTAAAAATATATTATAAAACTGCCTCTTTTCAATCAACAGCAAAAATCTAGAAGGAGATTATACAAGTAGGCACAGTTTATTCAAGTTTATTCGTGTTAGAAAAATAAAGTTGCCTAACTTCAAACTGTCACAAGTAAATAAGTACTCTTATATTTATTTTTCATCTTACCATTGACACCAATATGTAGCATTTTCTTATGCCTTTAAAATAACTTGTTAAATAAATGTTTATTTAACAAAGATTCCTCATGTACATTAGCCATTGATATGCTAAAATCTGGAAAACTGTTTTCAGCAATGTGTGAAATTTCTTATGATCTCTGAGACTACCTTTGTGATTGATAACTATCATCAGAGAAAGGGGACTTACCGGCTTTTATTCATGAGGTCGGCTCCTCGTGCTTTGTAGTAATCTAAATTTGGATGGAACTGATAAGTCACTGGTCTTGGATTTCTCTAAAAAAAAAGAATACATTTTAAAAAAGCTAGTTAAACTATCCATTAACCTATAAGAGGACAGAAATGATCATTTTAATATTCCTTCAGAAAAGAATATGTATAATAATAAAGTTTAATAATTAGTGTGCTTGGGTTTTGCTTTTATTAAATTATTCCTTAGTTCTGATTTAACACAAAAATTACTTTTTCCTCTCTCATAGTTAACACAGATTTATCATTAGATTTCTGATGACTTCAAAATAAAACTTTCAAATATAACTTTCCTAAAATATGAACAAAATGATAACAAAAGCTAAAAACTATATGAGATGTAACACAAGCAGAAACTATGCCAAGGGACCCAGAGACACAAGGTGTCAAGACAACGGCCTTTTGGAGGAAGAGTAAATCATTAGCTTTTTATGAGCGGAATGCTAAATATGTCCACTAGATGGCACACTGAGACTTTCTTCTTCCAAATGAGTTATTTCAGAATTCAGCAATTCTTTTAAAGTTAGCAATTTCTATGTCATCTATCCTTATTTATGAGTTTAATAAGTGCCCAAAATATGCCAGGTAGTAGATATATTACCAGGATAACCAATACAATACAAAAGCAAATTGACCGATGCACATTTTCATAAAAGCAGCGAAAACACTGCCCTTTCTAGGATGCAACATTATTTATAAACATCACAGAAATGTCCTTGAATCATTAGGTCCAGTGTGTCTGTTTAAATGTGTTGCTATTATTTAAACACATCTATTATTTAAATGTATCAAGTCCCTCACAGGCAAGTAAAAATTAAACAAACATACTTCTGCTTTATAAAAACTAATCATGTTTACACCATAATTTAAATAAATGCCATAATCTCTAAAACATTAAATTACATATATTTGCCATAAAAAGTTTTTAAAACATTATAAATAAATGTGTTCTAATGTTTACCTGGGCATATAATTAAAGTTAGAAATTAGGTTTTTGAACCAAGGCATGCACTTCCTTTGAGATACATAACTGGGCATGGAAAAGCTGCAGATTATCTTAATAGAAAATTACCAATATGCTTAGATATCAATCCTTGGAGACATAATTCCAAGGCACTGATACACTTGCATGCAGGCACGGGGGAGTTAGGGGGATATAATTGCTAAGGTTAAATAGTTTGAAATTCATCAAGCTAACAAGCCGCATTTAATGGCCATGATGGACCTTTTCTTTTTCTGCTGAAAGAGAATATTTACACAGCTCAACCCTTTCATATCTCTTCCAAGCCAGCCCTAATCATCTCACAAAAATGACAATCCCTTGATTTAGCTCCAGCTACTACTCCACTGGTTTGGTATTCAACACAGTTCTACAATAATCAAATCTGAATTGCCTTGATGAAGATAACTGATGCTTCCATGACTACCATACTATTAAGTCTAACAGTGCAACTTTTCTCTCTCTAGGAATTACATAGGTTTTCTCATGGTAGCTGATGACAACCTGGACCCAAGTATAATGGGAAAATAAAATAGAGGTTAAAGCCACTGGCAGATTGACAGTGCATTCATGACATATTTTAAAAATTAACTTTCGCAGGACTGTTGCTCATGACTAATTTTGTTCTTTATTCTCAGTACCTGGAAATACATTTTGTTTTCACTAATAAAAAAGATATTTTTTCTCTGACTTCCAACAAACTAATAAAGGATTATGTTACTTTTTCCAGAAAATAATGAAAGAAGGGATCACATGGAGCAATTACTTGAAACATCTTTATAAAGAAATGACAAGCAATTCAAGACACGAAGTGCTGATCTATCTACGCACTTAAAGCCATTATTAGGAATAATGATCTAACTTGAACATATAAATGAGGCTCAAGTATTGCTTTCACTGAGGCCTATTTAAATTCCTAGGAGGCTTACTGGTATCAAAGGGAGAGGTAGTTTAAAGTACCACTGTACTGGAAACAAAAAAAAAGAATCAAAAGATGATGTTGAAAAACAGCATTTGAAATGTTAATAAAATCAGAGGTTACAGTTGAAAGTTATTCTTTCTGTCGGGGAGATAGTGATGTTTCTAAAATATAAATATATAGACATATAGATTCATCTAGACCAGCACTGTCCAACAGGTCATAAACATAAATGTCACCTATAATTTAAAGTTTTCTAGAAGCCAAATTTAAAAAAGAAAAAGGAAACAAATTAAACTAAATGTTATATTTTATCTAATTCAGTAGATCAAAAATATTACGAGTTTAACATGTAATCAACATATACAATTATTCATGGGACACTTCACCTTGTTTCTTTTGTACAAAGTCTTTGAAATCCAGTGTGTATTTTACACTTACGACACGTTTCAATTTGGACTAGCCAAACTTCAAGTGTGACTGTACTGGACAGCATAAAGCAAAACATCTGAAATGCCTGTACACCACTGCATGGCTAAAAAAATCAACATCTAGACATGAACAGTAAAAAGGATGCCAATACTTTTCTACGTTGAGATTCAGTAAGTACAGTTCTTCAATTTACCTGTAATTCTTCTCTTTCAATTAAGTTAATTTTACCTTTATTCAACAAGGTTTTAAAAGGTTAAGGAATTTTGGAATACCATCTCACAGAAACAACCACCAAAGAAAAACCAAATTAAAACTAGGTAACAGGTTCAAATCATTGTTAAAAATACATATATAAATGTACATATAAAGGTAAATGGACCGATAACTCGGACTACGTACCAAAATGCTATCAATGGTTTCCTAGGGGGACAAGATTAAATAAGTGGAATTTTCCCTTTATGCAACTGAAACATTCTAAAATAAATACTTGTTCCTCTTCTTTTTTTTTTTTTTTTTTTTTTTTTTTTGCGAGGGGGCCTTTTTTTGTTGCCCAGGCTGGAGCACAGTGGTGCTATCTTGCCTCATTGCAGCCCTGACATCCCAGGCTCAAGTGATCCTCCCACCTCAGTCTCCTAGTAGTTGGGACTACACACATGCACCAACATGCCCAGCTAATTTTTATATTGTTTTGTAGAGATGCAGTTTTGCCATGTTGCCCAGGCTGGTCTCGAACTCCTGGGATCAAGTGGTCCACCCACCTAAGCCTTCCAAAGTGTTGGTATTACAAGTGTGAGACACGTTGCTTGGACAATACTTGCTCTTCTTAAAGGAGTTTTTAATTTTTTCCAAATAAAACTTTAAAAAGATATGATGATTTCTAATCTTTAAAGTTCTGGAATCTCCTCTAAAATATAAAGCTACTAGAATTCTATACATGTAAAACTCTGTATGTAAGAAAGCCCAGACCCCATGAAAACTGATTTCTCACTGTGCAGAACATGTTATCTCAACACTTTAATATTGTGTCTTCATCTGTATTAGAACAATTAGCAATTATAGTCATGTGTTGCTTAATGATGGGGGTACGTTCTGAGAAATGTGTCATTAGGTGATTTTATCATTGTGTGAGCATCACAGAATGTATTTTACAAAATCCTAGACGGTATAGCTTACTACACTCCTAGGCTATATGATATAGCTCACTGATCCCAGGCTACAAACCTGTACAGCATGTTACTGTACTGAACACAGTAGAAAAGTACACCACAATGGTATTTGTGTATTTAAACAGAAAAGGTACAGTAAAAACATGGTATTATAATCTTACGGAACCACTATCATATGTGTGGTCTGTTCTTGACCCAAACGTCATTATGCAGTGCATGACTGTATTTTAAACTCATTTTCACACAGTCAGGACTTCAACTATCATGAGCATTTTCCAAAACAATGTATTTTTTTAAATGCGTCTTTTAGTGAATTTTCGTTTGGAAGAAAGACAGCAAAATGGTAATCATATCTTAACTCATATTATTCTGTGTACAGAGGATACCAATCACGTTCCATGTCCTGGGAAGTTTACATTAAGATGCAGTCTGGGTGAATGGTTCATGCCTGTAATCCCAGAACTTTGGGAGGCTGAGGTAGGAGGATCGCTTGAGGCCAGGAGTTTGAGACCAGCCTGGGCAAAACAGCAAGACCCCAATCTCAACAAAAATAAAAAAAATTAGCTGGGCATGGTGGTGTATGCTACTGAGGCAGGAGGATCACTTGAGTGCAGTTTGAGGCTGCAGTGAGCTATGATCACACCACTGCATTCCAACCTGGGCTACAGCAAGATCCTATCTCTTAAAAAGTAAGACGGTTGGGTATGGTTGCACACGCCTGTAGTCCCGGCTACTTGAGAGGCTGAGGTAGGACAGCTTGAGCCTGGGAGGCAGAGGTTGCAATGAGCTGAGATTGTGTTACTGCACTCCAGCCTGTATGACAGAATGAAACCCTGTCTCAAAAAAAAAAAAAAAAAAAAAAAAAAAGAAAGAAAGAAAGAAAAGAAAAGTGCAGATATCACAAATTCAGTCCACCCTGGGTGTACCATGCCTTTCCAGGGCCAACCACAGCCAGGATGGGCCTGAAATAAGTCTTTCACAAGATTTCAGTTCATTACCTCCCAAGTATCACTCAGCTCTTCTCTGTGAACGTTGATGAAGCTCTATTTAAAGCTTTTTCTTCAGCATTTTATATTATAGCAAGATAAGAGGAGTGCTGAATATCTTACCCATGGCATGGACAAGATTAATTTTGGGGAGTATCTTAAAGTCTTATGGACAAAGTAACTTACAGAAGCAGAATCAACAGTGGTAGATGCAAGTGTTCTAGAAAAAACTATATGAAAAAAAATCAAAACTAAACAAAACCCATGCTATGCTTCTGACTTTCCAAAATGCTTTTGTTAATTTAGCATGATCACAAAATCAACCTACAATAATGCTTAAATAACAGCATTCAATGTAAGATACAAAAACTGAAATCAATCTAACTCTCAGTTATTTAACTTTTTTCACTTCTAAAGTATATATTGTATGATGGTAGACTGTTCCTTAAGGTATTTTCAGGTAAAACAAACACTCTGTCCAAGAATGAGTATGACTTTGGATGGTGAACAACTCCCCTTGGCCA